GAGTGTCCTTCTTGGATATGGAAATGGTTCTTTTGCAAAAGAAACAAAATATTCCGTTGGCTCTTCTCCAACATCTGTAGCTGTTGGTGATTTCAACAACGATACTCGACTAGATATCGTTGTCGCCAATTATAGGAGCAATGATGTGAGTGTCCTGCTTCAATATGGAGCGATAGAATATGAAATGGCCTACGCATCTGGCGGTGGAGCTAGCCTACAATATGTAGTGATTGGTGATATGAATAACGACACTAATTTGGATATCATCTTGGCTAATTACGGTACTAATAATGTAGGTGTCCTTTTTGGATATGGAAATAGCAGTTTCAAAAATCAAGTGATGCTTAGCACTGGCTCAAATTCTCATCCGACTTTGATTGCTATTGGCGACTTTAATGGTGACAGTATCGTAGACATTGCTGTGGTCAATTATGGTACAAAACAGGTAGGTATGATGCTTGGATATGGGAACGAAACATTTGCAAGTCAAACAAGTGAAGGAATTAGTTTCGATTCACGTCCGTTAGCTATGGTTTCTGGTGATCTTAATAATGACAAACGATCGGAAATCGCTATCACCTACGACGGAAGAGATAATGTGGATATCTTTATTGCATACAATCGTTGGCCTTTTGCAAAAGAAGCAAAATATTCAGTTGGCTCTTCTCCAACATCTGTAGCTGTTGGTGATTTCAACAACGATACTCGACTAGATATCGTTGTCGCCAATCATGGGAGCAATGATGTGAGTGTCCTTCTTGGATATGGAAATGGTTCTTTTGCAAAAGAAACAAGATATTTAGTTGGCTCTGCTCCAATATCTGTAGCTGTTGGTGATTTCAACAACGATACTCGACTAGATATCGCTATCGCCAATTATTATAGCAATGCTGTGAGTATCCTGCTTGGATATGAGAATGGTTCTTTTGCAAAAGAAACGAGATATTCACTTAGCTCTTATCCAAAATCTGTAGCTATTGGTGATTTCAACAATGATACTCGACTAGATATCGTTGTTGCCACTACCAGTAACAATGCTGTGATTATCCTTCTTGGATATGGGAATGGTTCTTTTGCAAAAGAAACAAAATATTCATTTGGCTCTTCTCCAACATCTGTAGCTGTTGGTGATTTCAACAACGATACTCGACTAGATATCGTTATCGTCAATTATGGGAGCAATGATGTGAATGTCCTTCTTGGATATGGAAATGGTTCTTTTGCAAAAGAAACAAGATATTCAGTTGGCTCTCTTCCAATATCTGTAGCTGTTGGTGATTTTAACGGCGATACTCGACTAGATATCGTTGTCGCCAATTCTCGAACCAATGATGTGAGTGTCCTTCTTGGATATGGAAATGGTTCTTTTGCAAAAGAAACAAGATATTTAGTTGGCTCTTATCCACAATCTGTAGCTATTGGTGATTTCAACAACGATACTCGACTAGATATTGTTGTCACGAATTCTTGGAGCAATGATGTGAGTGTCGTTCTTGGATATGGAAATGGTTCTTTTGCAAAAGAAACAAGATATTCAGTCGGTTCTTATCCACGATCTGTAGCTGTTGGTGATTTCAACGACGATACTCGACTAGATATCGTTGTTGCCAATTGGTTCAGGAATGATGTGAGTGTGCTCCTTGGCTATGACTATATAGTTTTTGTAAAGCAAATAGTACTTATGATTGGTAATGATTCCCGACTACAGTCGTTAGTGATTAGTGATTTTAATAATGATGGTCTAATGGATATCGGCGTCGTCAATTCAGTTACTCACAGTATTGGTATTTTTCTTGGATATGGTAATATATCTTTCGCATATCAAGTGATATATTCAACTCGCCCATATTCATCTCCATGCGCTATGGCTGTTGGTGATTTCAACAATGATACTCTAGTGGATATCATTTTTGGTAGTTGTGACTCGGATAAGGTTGGCGTTTTCCTTGGATATGGTAATGGCTCGTTTGGAAATCTAATGGCGTATTCAACAGGTTCAGATTCGTCTCAATACTCTCTAGGTGTTGTTGACATTAACAACGATACTATACAGGACATTGTCGTTGCGAATCATGACAACAACAATCTGGGCGTACTTCTTGGATACGGTAACGGCACATTCGCAAGTATCGTCCTATTTCCATTGAACTATGGATCCAATCCATTCTTTATCGTCGTTGGAGACTTCAACAATGACAGAAAGCTAGATATTGCAGTCGTCAATAATGGAAGTGACAGTTTAAATATTCTCTTACAGACTTGTTAGCCTTTTTTCTCGTACTTTATATTATTGAATTATTCACTCGTTTGTAATGCTCCTATATTTAGATAGAACCATTTTTATTAACTCTTCAAATGTTTCTCAGTTCTAAAGATGAATGGAGAAAGGGGTGTGGGTGTGGGTGTGGGTAGGAATGTGCAGTTTCAGTATACTGACCACCGGTAAAATCACACTGGCGTTCACCGGTACGCTGATGGCACTGCGCGCACTGTCTGAAGTGACACACTGACACTAAGCACACTGTCTGCAGTGATACACTGACAGTGACCGCATTGTCTGCAGTGACATAGTGACACTGAGCGCACTGACTGCAGTGTCTGCACCGACATCTGTATTCACCGGATCAGTGCATACACTGACACTGACTGCACTTGTTGCACTGACGCATACTGGAACACTGACGTACTGATACTGATTTCCATTGACTAGAATTTATATACAGAAGACGACGACATATTCGGCTTGTAATATGTGGATTAACAAAAAAATTTCATCGAAGCATATCTGCTCAGTAGTTTGGTTTCTTGGTTGAGATAAGCTACATACACTTTTACGTACATACACTTTTTCAACCGTTGCATCAAAACAGAGTAAATAAAGCAGAACATTCATGTAATCGTAACGATATAAATAGTTTTACAAAGTCCACATACACTTTATGAAACGCTCATCTTGTTTAAATCAATGTGGTTCAGTAATAAAATCCCGTGGTTATGTGTCGGTATTAGGACTATAAGTGGCGTATTTCGTTGAAATTGACTTTATTATTCAAAATTATAGATTACTTAAATGAAACCTATTTTCTGGAGGAATAGGCATAGTCATTTCGCTAATTTCATTGATAGTCATAAATAAAGTCATGAATAGTGCATACTTTTATAAAGTCGGTGACTTGATACTTCATTGAGCATCGCTGTTCCGGTGAACACTGACACCGGTGCAGCCAGTGTATGCACTGGTTCAGTGAATATTAATTTCGGTGTAGACACCAGAGATGTCCATCGCGGCTGACAATCTGCCGCTGCCGCGCCGCGGCCTTAGAAAAAAAAAGCTGCCGCACCGCTGCCGCGCCGCGGCGGTTTATAAAAAAATGTTGCCGCGACGCTGCCGCACCGCGATGACTTATAAAAGAAACGCTGCCGCGATGAATTATAAAATAAACGTGCCGCCACCGCGCCGCTGCCGCGACGATTTTCAAAAAAGTGTTTCTAATTTCACTGCTGTGACTATATTTGACCAGAGATATGGGTACTAGTCCATCAGATTTATTCAATATCAGGGCGTTTCATTTGTAAATCGTGAAATTCTATTAAATTCATACAGTTTTTCAATGTCCTCCAAAAAAATCCTGCCGCTGCCGCGCCGCTGCCGCGATGGTTTTTTAAAAAACCTGCCGCTACCGCGCCGCTGCCGCGATGACTTTTAAAAAAATCTGCCGCTACCGCGCCGCTGCCGCGGTGATTTTTTTTAAAAACCTGCCGCTGCCGCGCCGCCACCGCCACCGCGGCAGCGGCAGCGGCAGCGGCGGCGGCGCGGCAGCGCCGCGATGGACATCTCTGGTAGACACTGTAGTCAGTGCACTCAGTATCAGTGTGTCATTGCAGACAGTGCGGTCACTGTCAGTGTGTCATTGCAGACAGTGCGCTCAGTGTCGGTGTGTCACTGTCAGTAATTCACTGTTTTCACCGAAACTGCACATTCCTAGGTGTGGGTGTGGATGAAGAGAACATCCACACCCGCACCCGCACCCACACACCCAGACCCACACCCACAGCTCATCCCCATCCCCATCCACAGCCACACCCCACATCCACACTCACACTCACACCCACACCCTCCTGGTCGCGCACGCACGAATAGGATAAACATTGCTTTCATCAATTCAACGTGATTTATTTGAGAGAAAGAAAAGAACAAAAAAATAATCCATCGTTTTGACTCTATTCAATAGAGAAACGTTGAACACGATGATTTAGACGATCGGTAACATAGAGATTGCCATGTCGATCGAAGGACAAACTGATGGGACGATTGAACTGATTTGCTCCTTCTCCTGGACCATTGCCATCCACAATGACAGTGCCCTGTTTTGCTTCTTTAGGCCAGCGCATCACTCGACGATTCCACGAGTCTGCCACATAGACGGTACCCAATGTATCGACGAACAATCTATCAGGATCCCACAATTGTGTCAGAGCATTCCCTCCGCCTCGACCCCCAGCGACGACAATTCCTTCTTTTGCACCTTTATTCCATTTCATCACACGATTATTCTCACGGTCTGACACGTAGACAGTATATTGTTGATCAATAAAGATGTAGCGCGGATCGTTGAGTTGATTGAGACCATCACCTTTGCCATTGCCACCAGCCACGATAGTTCCATCCTTGTCCCCTATTCGATATCGTCTTACTTCATGTTTTTCGATGTCAGAGATGTAGAGATATCTCTGATCATCCATGGCCAATCCATAACAACGGATGTTGTCAATGAGGATTTCTCCTTGAGTTGTGCCACTACGACGAGACCATCGTACGACTCGTCGATTCCCGTAATCACAAATAATGAGACTATCCGTCTCTTTGTCGATCAACACATTGGCTGGATCATTCAGTTGATCCAATCGATTTCCTTGATTATGACCACCAGCTACAACTTGTCCATTCATATCACCCATCTTCCATTGGATGATACGATGATTGTATATGTCAGCAATAATCATCGTTTGATCATCATCAACGAAGAGACCGAAGGGGTGGTTGAGTTGATTGGTGGCATTGCCTGCTCCATGGCCTCCAGCAACGGTCACTCCATTCTGCGTCCATCGGGCATCAACTGGAATATTCGGAATCACTACAATGAACGAAAAAGAAAAGGAATCGTCGTTATCGAAGAGATATCCCCTCACTCGTGGGGGAAAGAGCTATGAAGGAGATATTCGTCTTCTTCGAAAGCACTTTGGTAAAACTTTCGTGAATGTTCTTTCTGCAGATAAAAATGCAGAAGCTTCTCCGAGTTTCCTATGAAAAAGAAGGATTTCGTAACGATTCTTATATCTATGTCACTTCTAGTTCTCGCCAAGATCTCTGAAATGCCAAAAAAAGTAGAGCGTTCGCAGTGGATGAAAATTGTACGTGAGCTTTCGATAGAAAAATATAGAGATCTGAGGATTTTATTTGTAATCTCGAATGCAGAATCTTTTGCAGGGTGATTATTTATACAGCTTGATTCAGTTATTTTTGATAGTTTTGTGCAGTTTATTGTATCTATACAAAATATCGGAGATTTCTTTTGTTTTCATATAGCTGGGTAGAGCATCAATTACTTTATCGAATTAAATAGTTTTTATTTTTTATTGATTTTACATCTTGTCCAAAAATTCGATAAAATTCGAGAAGCGCTGTGACGAAACTTTTGCACGCTCATATCTATGCAACAATGAGCTCAATAATAATGAAAATTGCTTTTTAAATGGAAGAGATCCATGTCACTTCCTCGTATAAAAAATATTGGACAAAACGGATTCGAAAGTGTAGAGAAAAATGACTTTTACTGTTAAGTTTTGGTCTATTTTTCTATCAGTGAAAAACCAAGTTTGTAGTACTTTTTACAATAATTCATCTGTAAGACTGGACGTAACTCTAATCAAAATTATATAAATTGATAGAGGAATCAATGTTCTATTCAGCTGTGTATATATGAAAGAAAAAAGTTTACATGTTGAAATAACCAAAATTTCTTTGTAGAAAAGTAAATAACCAAATATATGAAAAAGTTCAGAAACACATTTATTAGAAAAGTCGCCCAAGTTTATAGTAAAGATAAAGCATAAACCCAATAAAAATATATAGCCCGATAGAAAAACGATAGGTCTATCATCCTATACAAAAATAAAAAGTTTCAGTAGTCCAATAAATATTAGCCATCGAAAAAATTACCTCAGACATTATCTTAAAATTGCTGAATAAAAAAAACTCTTTTTCGCTGCTTTTCGATATTTATCAAATTGTTCAAGTAGATCGAGAGAAAATAAAATGAAAACTATATGGTTCGATAGAGTAATCAATACTTTATTTAACTCGATCAAAATAAGAAACTCTCAAGATTCTACATAAATACAGCAAACTACACAAAATTATCAAAAATAACTGAATCAAGCTGTATGAACATCAGACAAGAATTTAAGCCATAAAATAATGAACCATGTGAAACTCCTAAACTGAAAAAATCCTGAGAAGATTCTAGCTGCATCTTTTTAGGAGGATGTCGAATTCTTGAACCAGAAACATCAAACCTAATCCCTATGTTCTTGGGAATTCTTAAGGATCAGTATATTGATAGGATCTTAGCAAGATCATAAGAAGATGCGTATGCATGCGAAACTGAGTAAATTTGACAGAATTCCACGCGGATCTTTGGAATCTGACGCCTGCTACTTTTTGAAATATTCGGAAGGCTAATGCTAATCTTATTGGCACTCTCCATAGGAAAAGATAAGGACTTAGTTAGCTTTCTACAGGCACGAGCTTAGAATATTCTTTTTGTAACTTGGAAAGCAGCAACTTATTCAGAGAGGTCAAAAGGATAACAGTCAGATATTATCAAATTTTCGAAAAGATTTGATACAAAACATCGTCTGGAAATGCTAGAAGAATTTCTATGGATTACAGACAAGCACCTTAGCTATAAAATAATAGATAGTGTCAGAATCCAAAACTGAAAAAAGCTCAGGTTTTATCTGCATCTTACTAGAATGCTGATGCTAAATATTTGAGCTAATATGAGTATGAATGGATATGAGTGTTCCGATTCTTCATTCGCACCTACACCCACGCACACCTTATAAGAATTCAATGTTGTTACCTTTTTTGTAATAAATGACTTATTAGTTTGATAGTGATCTGTAAGAACGCATCAAATTACAAAAACTCAAAAGCTTTTGAAATTCAACTATAATAAGTCAGTTTTTAGAAGATGATAACAAGATTGATATAACTAAAAATTCATCTAAATTATATTTCAAATAACGCACGCAGATCTATGGAATATGTTATTGTTCTCTCTACGGATGTATTCAATTAAAAAAACCGAATGTTTACTAACATGTAAAGATATACACTGTGTCTTAAAAGTTCCTTCCTAAAAGTTTTTTCGTTCCATTACACTATTGACTGGACTTTATTGACTATTTTTTTTTTGATAATACATAAATGCACAGAGTTTTTATTTCTAAAGACAAACTTCAAAAGCATTGTTGAAAGTTAAGACCTTTAGCCAAAATACAAAAATTTAGTCTGTCTTCTTTTTCTAGAAAAGCATTACATAGCATTTCTTTTTTAATAACATGAAGTTGTTGTGTAATTCGAATCTTTAAATTGTCCAATACTGAAACGATCTTTTTACACAATTTCTTTATGGTATGTCTTTATGAAAACAAAATGAATAGTACTAAACCAAAATTCAAGCAATTAAAACACATATCATGCATGAGTATTTTCAGAAATAGAAAATAGGCTGAAGTTTTGTTTTTCGGCTAAATGTCTTAACTTTTAACAATGCTTTTGAAGTTTTTCCTTAGAAACAAAAAACTCTGTGCATTCATCTATCATCCAAAAAAATTAGTCAGTCAAGTCCAGTCAATAGTGAAATGAAATGAAAAAACTTTTAGAAAGGAACTTTACTTTTAGGACACATTGGACAATAAAAATTATTCTACGTTTACGAGGTTCATTGAACTATTGCACGCTCTGTATATAGAGATTGTTTCATAGGTTTTCTGCCATTCTAAGTATTTTTTTCTATAGTTTCCAATATATAAAAGTTGAACAGACGTACAAAATATATATTCGAAACGTCTGAACTATGATCAAAAATTCGCTATACTTTCAACTGACATCATTATTAAGAAAATACATTATTCGAAAACATGCGAAGATCTTTTTATCGATTTTATTTTCTACTCTTTTTTTTCTTATGATGAGAGGATCATGTGATTCATTTTTGTCCTTTTATGTTCTTATGAAATCTAGAGCTAAAATAAGTTTCGACGTTGTTTTTGTTTTACATATTTAGAATAAAAATATAATGATAAGTTTCATAAAATTTATTTGTAATACTTTTACTAATCATCTACCTTCTTAATATCGATATTGTCAATTGAGTACAATAAATTTTGAACGATAACTTAGATGACCTTGAAACTTAAGAAATATAGCTATTCATTTCTTCCTTGTCTGTGTTAATGTGAATAGAAAAATGAAAAAAAAAACTATTTTGCTCTAGACAATAAATAGAAAGATGAAACGTTTACCATCTGTATTAAATCTTGACTGACAATAAGTTGCTCAGGAAAAAACTAGTTATCATATACTACGAATAAGAGAGAAAAAAAACATGACACTCTTCATGCAAAAAGTCAATGATGAAATCAATAATCCACCGAAAACGAATTAGAATATTAATAGAAATAATATGAAGATAAACAATATAGAACTGAAGAAAAACATGCACATTTCAACATGTAAATAAATGATGCAGTCGTTAAAATAAACTTCTTACAAACTTTAAATAGTCGAGATACTAAATCATTCTAAAGAGATAAAGACTCATCAAGAAAGAGTAACAAATCATATGACTGTCTCAGTTTTGATGCATATAATCTATTTATTTGTCTACTTCTGAGCAAAATCAGTGGATGCAGAGAGAAACACAAAGATTTCTCCTATCATCATCATGATAAATAGAAAGATGTCTTAACATTAACAGACGAAGGAAAAACATACTCTAAGATAATTCAATCGATTCTATTCAGTTAGCATCCTTTATTCATTTGCACGATGATGAAAAAAAACAACTATAGTTAATTTTCTATTTTATCAGTGTTAGACTTGTTTTATTTTTCTTCTAACAATGTTAAATCTTCAGAATTTAAAAATAATTAACCTTACAAAAATGAAAACAGCAATAATTTTCGATAGTTCTAAGAAAAGTTGATCGTCAAATAAATGGGCAATAGATTCTTAACATAATAAGAATAAAAGATCGTACAAGTATTAGAAATATGAAAGGAAAAAATACAGCGATAACTATGCTATATTGCAAATAGATCAAAATCACATTTTGAATTTTGAGAAAACATAATAAATAAACAAAGTAAACAAATAGATAATAGAAAGAGGCATCAAC